AGCAGACCTTTGAGTTAAGAGACTTAATGAGAGTCCCCAGGAGCCCAGGTCTTTCAAACCCTTGGACGTGGTCCCTGAGCAGTGCGGTAGGGAAAGGCCCATCTACAGGGACCGGGAAGAACAGCATCCAGTTCTGAGCAGAGCCAGGAGTAGTGCCTGTTCCTACAAAAAGACTGGAAATTTTTTTTTTCCAGTACTGGGGATCGAACTCAGGACCTTGGGCTTTCCAGGCAGGTGCCAGCACTACTGAGCTAAATCCCCTGCCCCTGGAACTTATTTTTTAAAAATTATTTAAAGTAACTTGTGGATCAAAGAAAAAATCAAAAGGAAAATTTAAGAGTATTTGAACTGAGAAAGAATGAAAACACAACATAAAAAAATTTGTAGGCTGCTCCAAAAGCAATATTTAGAGACAAAATTATAGCACTAAAATACCTATGTCAAAATAAGAAAGGTTTCACAAATGACTTCAGCTTCTAACTTTAGCAAAAAAAATCCGGAAGAGTAAATCAATGTGAAGTAAACAATAAAGGAAATAAAGGAAAACCAGTGGAAATTAATGAAATAGAAAAACAATACAATCAATATAACTAAATGCTGGTTTGTTAAAGAAGGTAAAGTTGAAAAATCTCTAGTCAGAGTGATTAGCAAAAAGAGAGAAGCAATGAGAGAGGTGACACCGTTACAGATTATGTTATTAAAAGCAACATGAGAAAATAATACGAATAGCTTTAAATCCTTGGACATATTTATAGTAGCTGATTAAAAGTATTTGTGACTGTTATTTCCATAATCTCATTCATTTTGAGTTTGTATACATTGAACCTTTTTTTTTACTATGAGTCCCATGTTTCTGCTCACATTTTCCTGCTGCTTTATAAATCCAAGGATTTTTTTTGTTACGTGTTTGACATTGTCAGTGTTATGTTATTCAGTACCTAGACTGTCCCCATCTCCTTTAAGGAGCATCCCCTTTGCTTTGGCAGGCAACTAAGTGACAGTCAAGCTGCTTGTCTTCTTTGGAAGCCTGTTCCAGAAGATGTGTTAGCACAGTTCTAGAGTGGTCTTTCTCTAGGATTACCTTAGCCCTGATGCTAGGGTATGGCCCTTCTGGACACTCCTGGCTCAGTGAGATGATCCTACTTCGGCCAGCCAGACTCTGAACATCTCTCTGTCTCTGAGCTCTGAGACTTGTCTCCTTGGAGGTGCTCAGCAGTGGCTCTCCAAACAGCCTTGCTGATTGGCCCTGCAGTGTGGACTATTTGCTCATCTGAAGGCTGGGGGAGGAAGGGACCAGACTGGCTGAGTCTGCAGAGCAGTGGAACTTCTGCTGCAGTGTAGCTCATTCTCCTGGTGCTCTCCCCTGTTCAGCTGCCTGCATGTTCACAAGCTTGGTCCAGCCTCTCTGCTCAGTGAGGCTATGGTGCTCTGCAGACCCCTCTTTGTCTCCAGCCACTGTGCCACTGACTGCAGGGTCTGAAAGCAGTTATTTCATTTAGTACATATATTTCACCTAGTTTTCTGAATTCTACCTGTGGGAGAGCAAGTCTGGTGACAGTTTCTCTGTCATGGCTGGAAGCAGATGTTGACTCTTTTGTATTATGTAGTCATATTTATCAAAGCTTTCTTTATAATTGCCTTGATGTCATACCTAGAAAAGGCCTTTTCATTTACTTATATTTGCTGTCAGCACCTTAATGATTTCATATTTTAAGTGTTAAATTCTTTCGCCCGTATAGGTTTTAATTTGATGAAAGGTGTAAGGCATTAGTCTAGCTTTTCACAAATGGTTAGCCAATTGTGCTAACCCAATTTACTAAATAATCTATCCTTTCCTTAGAGAAAAAAACCTCTTTTATATACCTAAATTTACATGCAATTGCGTCTATAGCTTGACAATGTTTTGTTCAAATAAATTGTCTATTGCTGAAGCAGTACAGGAAAATTACTGTGTGCCAAAATGCTAACTTAGAAATTAATTGTTAAAGCAAACTCCATAGGAAGAAAGGGTGCTAGAACCAAAACAGTGTGGGATCTGGAGGCCAGGAGCACTGGCTTGACTGTTCTGCCCCTTGCTCCTGTTCAACACTGGACAATTCTCTTGACCCTGGAGCTCTACTTTTACTAGTGGTAAAGGGGGCACTAGCTATGGTGTTCCATTCTTCCCACTTCACTCGAAACTTTGTACTCTGGCAGGACAGGACATCTTTCCTTTTGACATCTCTGTGCACTGGCTCAAACTGTTTTCTTGGTGTTAGGCAGCTTCCTGTTACTATAAAACAATTACCCAAGATAATCAACTTAAAAAGCCGAGAGGTTTATCTTGGCTCACAGTTTCAGAGATTTCACTACCTTTGTCATTTGGGCCTGTGGTGAGGCAGCAGATGTTGCTAGGAGAACACGGTGAAACTGTTCATCATGTGTTCAGGATGTAAAAGAGGGAGATTAAGAAATTGGGGTCCCCATTGCCCCTCCAGGGACACAGACCCAGAGATAACCCCTGCCTGCCAGGCCCCACATCTTCACGGCTCCATCCCTTCCCCACAGTGCCACAAACCAGCCTTCAATGGTCTCGGGAATACAGGTGGAAACCAGGGTACTCTGCTCAGAATAGCTGTCTTATTTTTCTCTCTTGTTGAACTCTTCCTCATCCTGTAAGAAATAGATACCCATGTCATCTTCTTAGATGCTTTTCTGGATTCTCCAGGTTACATAGCCCTCCTCTCTCCCAACAGCCTATGTCCACACTTCATTGTGGTACAATTATTTATTTACCTCTATGACTCTTGTTGCTGAGTTTAACCTCCCTGGATATTTAAAAAACTGTGTTTTTCTTATCATTCTCTGATCACCATCATTTGCACTTGGCAGGTTCTCGGCAGACATTGGTTGAATGAACAGGTGGATGGGTGGGTGGTATAGACACAGCCATGGCCCATCAAGTTGCCCTTGGTGATCACACCTCAGACATTTTGCCTTCTCAGCACAGTTCCTACATTCAGCTCTTCTCCCTGGTAATGGAGAAGAGATGTCAGAGCCCTTTTCTCCCTTGCAGACCCCGGGACCTTGATGCTGGGTCTCTGAACACCTATTTCGCATGTTCCCAGTAACTGTCCACTTCTTTTCCAGCAGCCACTTTGTTCCCTGCTTTCTGTGTCAGCTTTGAGTTCTTATTGCGAGGTTTTGTAACCTCTGGACATTTGCATTAAAAACTCAGGTGGGTCAGGCTCCGGTCCACTAGCCTCTGGAATTGTGGCTTTCTGGGGTAGTGCACTGGCTCCCAGCCTGGCCCTTCTGTCCCATTCTCTGGCCTCTGGGGTGACCAGCTGGCCTCATGACCTCAGAATTACAGAAAGGCTGCTAGTGTTCATTGAGCAATTATTATGAGCCAGGTGCTTTATGTATGGCTTTGCATTTAATCCTCTGAAAAGCTTATCAGATTGGGGTTATTTTTTCCGTATTATTTCTCCAGGCTGAGACCTGCTTGAGTTTAAGTAGAGGATGACAGAATCAGTAGCAAAGCTTATTTCTATCTGATCCTCAGCACCGTGCCTCTGCCACATCCTCCTGTGAACTGTCTGTCTGTTTTCTAGCATTGTTGGTACACAGCCACCACTGAGCTGAGATGTGTTGGGTTGTGCAGATTTACTTAGACCTATGCAGTGGATCCATGTGAGTGGCTCTGACTAGACTCGAAGTGAGAGGTGCCCCCACCCTCATGCTTCCAAGTCAAACGCCAGGCAAGTGCTTGGGATTTAGAATTAGTGCACTTGGGCTCACCCAAATCGGAGTTCATGTTTGAGTTGTGTTGCTTAAGGACAGACCTCAGGCAAAACTCATCTCCTTGGCTTCTCTGGCCTTCAGTTCCAATCCCTACTCATCAGGCTGAGGCCCTCTTGGTCTCTTGTACCCCAAGAGCTTCTTGCCATGGTCTGTCTCTTCACTTTTCTGGTGGGGCACACCCCTGTCTCTCAGGAACCATCTATTCAGTGGCAATAACCTTCTGTCCTGTCAACCTTATTTATCTCTAATTTTATATAAGCACTTTCTCCTTCAGAACAGGCTGAGTCCAAGAGTTGAGAAACCAGTTGTACCATCTAAGACACAAAATTCTGTGGCTCCATGCCCTCAGCTGGAAAGTGGGGAGAGTATCCATTTCTACTGAAGGTGGCTGTGATAATCAGGAAAGAGATGGCTTGGCACCCACTAGTGCTCAGCAGAGTTACCATCCTGTCTGGTCACCACTGCTCCACACGTGTGTTCACCACTGACTCACCAAGTGCCTACTGTGGTAGAGTGCATAGGCCAGTGGTACGCAGTAGCAACCTTCTCTTAGACAGTGGCATGCGTTTAACACATTTTCCACTTTTCCTCAGCCTTCCGAACACAAACCAAAGCCTCTTGGAGTCTGAAGAATTACAGTTTGTTTATGAGTGGCCAGGGAAGAACCCAGCCAGAGAAAATCCCTGCCTGCTGTGGGCCCTGAAGGAGCTGTTGTCTCCGATGATCACATCTCCAGACCAGCACAGGTCCCAGGGGGCTGCTGTCCATACCGTGGCAAGGTGGGCTCACAACAGCAATATGAACTTCGGGTCAAAGTGAAGCCACATAGGGACCCAGCTGTGAGCCAGAGGTGCCAGAAGAATGACTTCAGTCAATATCTTAAGTCAACAGCCTTGAGTCTGGAGAGAGTAACAGGAGAAAGCCAAATTGTAGGTGCAGACATCTGTGCAAAGAGTGCGTGGTATGAAGTCAGAGCTCTACTTGCTTTTTTTTCAGGAACCAGACTGAGACCCGCAGGTGGAGAAATGGTGGGGACACAAGGATCGAAGACTGTCATTCACTCCTGTGTTCACTCACTTGCTCCATGATACTTCCTAAGCATCCAGTGTGGACAGGACATTGCTTCTCTGGAGACACAGCAGGCAACAACATTCCGCCATCCAAAAGGTAACTTTGGTATTATTATTGCCCAATAAATACTGCCTAATGATGCAAAGAAATTAATAAACAAAAAGGTTGACTTAGAAAAGAAATATATAGGTCACTTGTACATTGCTAATTGTAACAATGAACTTTAATAAGAAAGCAGCAAGATGCTAATTTGGCCAGGCTGAGACATCCAAATCAAACAGCATTGGTCCAGAGAAAAATGAGTTAGGATAGGCTCCCTCCTTGGGACTTTTGAAATTATGCAAGAATCATTAAAATGTAGAACGTGGCTGGGAGTAACCAGCATGAAAATACCATGTACATTTCTTCTATTACTCAGTGACTTATTAGGCATAATTTATTAAGTGCTTTCCTTGAAAAATGAAAGGAAACAGTATTTGCAATTAACCATACTTGCACTGCTGATTCCTAACAATAATTTTATGTACAGGATTTAATGAATCTTTCAGGAATTTGCATAATCTGCTATGAGCCAAAGCCAATTTTAAGACAGCAAAGACAGTGTTTACAAGAGCCACGTTCCAATGGTGGAAATGCCAGAAACTCAGCATCTTGCTGTTCTCAGGTCCTACCTTATTTTTCACATGATATAGTATCACTTCTCTGTAAAGTCACGTGGACCTTGTCCCTTTGCTTTCCATCACAAAGACTGACGAAAATATAAACTAAATCCACGTACAGAGAAAGCTCAATAATTCAGGCTTACAGTGGAGAAAGCCAGTGGGAACTACTAAAGCCTGACATTTAGAGCCCTAGGAGATGGTGTATACTTTTCAAAAAAGTACATCTGATAATGTGAAGTAACTTAACCAAGTATTGACTTTTGCTAGTCCTTGGGGGGGGTAAATTAATGATAGATTAAAATGCCTCACCATAGCATATTGCATATTGATTTGTCCTCTTTGGGAGAATAAACATTTTTTCCCTACAAGATAACTTCCACATTATTTCTTAATTCACTTTTTTCAGAGCACTTAACATTCAATCTAGATCCAGTCCAGCTAAATGCAAACTTTGAATCCTTGAGTCTGAATTTATATTTTACTGCAAAACTAAAAAGCATTCTTATGCCCACTGTTGGATAGTTACCCTGACATTCTCCGAGATCTTGTCAGAGATTTCTTTCTGTGTTTAGATGTCAAGATATTAATTGCTTTTTTCAATGTGCTGTGACTCATGCTTAAAGTAATTACTTTTCCTTAATGACTCAAGCAGGGAAGCCGGTGACATTTGTAAATGGTAGAAGGGATAAAAGGAGCCGACATGCTCTCTTTTCACCATCTTCCTCCTCCATGCTGTGATCTCATCTGTGAGAAAGGTGCTGAGATGACTTCCTTTGTCAGCTCTACCCACTGCTTCCAAGGTGAGGACACCCAAGTGCCTCTGGGAGGAAATTACACTGAGGGAGGCTGTGCTTAGTGAAAGGAAAAGACTGGACCACTGGAGAGAATAAAGAGCCCCAAAACCTAATAAATGCCACTGATTAGTGGATAATCAAATATGAAACAAACGTCTTCATCTCCTGCTTCACGTCATGTACAAATACGAATTTCAGCAGGAGTACAGATCTACAAAAAGTAAAACAGAACTTCTAGAAGAAAACTTGGAGCATCTTCATAATTTTTCTTAAAGGTCAGATAAAGATTTCTTAAGCAGGACTAAATTGCCAATCACAATGGGAAAAATAATGAATTTCTGTATTAAAATCAAGAACTTTCATTCATCAAAAAGATATCATCAAGACAGTAAAAATATAGTTCACTGAATGGAAAAATAACATTTGTAATATATCAAAGAATTCATTTTTGTAATATATAAAAAACACACAACCCTATAGAAAACTGGATACAAACATAAACAAGCACTTCACAAAACAGGGTGTCCAAATTACCGATAAACATACAAAAAGGTAGCAAATCTCATTAGTCATCAGAGAAATGCTAATTAAACACACAATGAGATTATACTACACACTCAGCAGAATGGCTAAAATGAAAGACACTAGCAACTGCTGAATGGGATGTGGAGAAGGGAACCTCCAAGTGTACCCCGGATGACAGTATAGCTGGTGGAACCATGCTGAACAAGGTTCTGGCAGTATCCACAGAACCAAAGCACTGGCATGTCTCATGACACAAAAGCTTTACTCCTGGGCATATGAGTTACAAGAACGCTGACCAGAACACACAGCCCTAATGTAGACACCACCTAAATGTCCACTCAGTGATGAAATGGTAAGTCAGTCACGACATAATCCCAAGAAGTGACTGAAGCGGGAATGAGAGGAATACAAACACACCACAGCATGGGGATTTCTTGCCAACATTGACTTGAGTGATAAAAGACACAAAAGAGTACACGCTATCTGGTTAAATTTACATAACACTCAGAAACAGCTAAGCTAAGCTAAGCTGTCTTCTTAGAGAACAGGAGGGTGTTTTTTCTTTGCAGGATTTTTAACTGGAGGGCCTGTCTGGATGCTTAGATGTTCTGGTTTTGCTCTGGGTGCTGACTCCATGGAAGTGTTCAATGTATGTAAAAACATCAAGCTGGACACTCACTCTGTATGCATAAAACTGAACACTTACAATCTGTGCATAGAATAAAATCTTGCTGCCAGATATTTTACAGTCTCCAGTTTATTTCTGATTATATTTGGAGAGGCAGATTTTACATGATAGCTTCAAACCAACCATTTTACATTAACCAAATTTTACACAAGCCATTTGAAAAAAGATCTAAAAATGTGCTTAGTTATTGGTATTATATAACATTTATCAAGCACCAAGAGTGTGCTGAGAGCTGTACAGAACAAACGCAGAAAAGACAAGGTCCCTGCCTTTGTGGATACCCATCCCATAGGGTCTTGCACATAAAACTTCACCTTGTATTTCACACTCTTTTGTTCATAAGGCATAAATAAGGAAGTTTGTTGCATTTCTCATTGTTACTGAATAAACAGCTAATACCCTTTTCTCCAGGTGTACGAACAATCACTTGTATCTTTGCCTTTAAATACAAATTTCTGTGATACAATATACAGTATATATTGATTTGGTATTCATACAATTGATCACAATATCCTTGCAGGTTGGTTATAATATGAAGCACGTTGAATTTCAACATTCACAAATTTTATACCACTTAATAGAATCTTTTATTGTTGGCAGAGGGTTTTTTTTAAAAAACAAACAAATGAGGTGTCACTGTAAACAAAAAAACACACTGCCTAGATTCCAGTAAGGGTATCAGACTATGGCACAGACACTCAGGATAGTGATTTAACACACAGACTAAACTAGCCTTGCAGATATCAGTCATTGACTGCATGCCCCAAAATACATATGATCAGCAAGTAATGGGTGACATGAGTATGATCAGCTTCACTGTATCTCCAGGTTAAACATGGGAGAACTGGTATGAAATGTCTGAAATCTGTGAGCAGGGAAATTTTCTTTCTTTCTTTTTGGCTTTTCTGCAAGGCTGTGTTCAAAACAAATTCAGATTAGAAAAGAGGAGAAAGCAATTCTGAATTTAATCATTGGCTAAGGACATTGGACTTCAAAATAATCCCTTCAAGAATATCACCTGATTATTTTTTAAAATGCAAGAAAAACGAAATGAATTTTGATCATGTGGAGTACAAGACTTGGGCAGAAGAAATTGTACTTGATGTGACAGTGCCAAGGAGCGTGCTGCAAGATGGCCCCAGTGCAGAAGGGAGGCCACCCTCCATCACCTGGGAGCTCACTGAAGCCTACATGAGGGACAGGATAAAGACACTGGAGGAATGGACAGCTGCTCCCTTCTTGGCCAGACTCTGTCTTGCTCCACTCTGCAGACTGAGGGATGGGAGGAGCTGGGGGAGTCTGGAGCCCAAGGGAGGAAGGGTAGGGCAAACTTGGTCAAGGGAGTAAGGATCCAATTTTAAATTTTACCTTCTGTAGATCCCCAGACCCCAAGCATCTATGAGCCTTGAGAATGGCAAAGGTCCATCCTTCAACAAGGGATTCCGTGCCCACCTTACCTTTGGCCCTGTTACCTGCTCTCCCATGGCATTACCAGGTCTGGTTGTTTCCATTAGGTAGCAAGAACAGTGAGCTGAATTTTACAGTTCTACTGCACTTAGAGCAAAATGGATTTTCTCTGGCTACCTCCCAAGACATGATAAAGGCAAAGGAAAATTTTACAGTGCCCTCCTACTTCCATGCTTGAGGTGAGGCTTCGCCTCATCCCCTAGGTAACTAGGCACATGGCCCATAGGGCCCAGTAAGAATAGTTTCACCCATGGGCAGTGACAAAGCAGTTTGGTCCAGCCCCCAAGATCCTACCTGCCAGATGGAGGAGTCAGGTTGGGATCTGATAAGATTTTCCTTATTCTGGGTGAGCACATCTCTAGTGTTTTACAAATCACAGAGCAAGAGGTTGGGAACTACTATCTCTGATGCTCTGACAGCTTAATCTGTGATAAAGAGGAAAGTGGCAGGATTAGAATGTGGTGTAGAGTCTTACTGGTTGAAGTGGACGGGGGGTGGGGGGATACTCCCAAGGGTGTCAGCTAGTACCTTCTTTGGAGTGAAACAACCTTATTTAATGTGCCCAATCTAAAACAGAGCACCAAAAGACTAAAATTCTGACAACAGACAATAATATGTAGATATATTTTTTTCATTTTCAATTATAAACCCTCCATACTAAGGCTTAAGCTTCAGTCACCTAATTGAAAATCCACCATAAACATGAAAATAGATAACATGAAGACCTCTAAAATAAAGGTTCCTACAGATGACAGCATCCATTCTTTGTTTGTTAACATCGAAAAATGCACTGACTACCCCTTAATAATGGACAGTGAATTAGATACAGCAAGCTAAGCATTGTTGGGATTGTTTAGGATGATTGCTGGACTCCTATTGCTTTAAAAATTGAGATGCTTCCCAAATCCCACCTGCAGGAATTTATCATTCCATCCAAAATGACGATCCTGTCAAAATTAATGTATATCCTACTTTGCTATCAAAAGAATTTAAGGTTGCTAATTTCTGTCAATCATCTTTTCTTTAACATGTAACAAGACAAGAGATGCAGATGTTGATAAGGATTCGTTCTGTCCAGTTACTGTCTGAGCACCATTCTGCAGGTGGAAGCCAGATCACCCTAGGACGAAATTACACTGGGAAAACCTTGTTCTCCAGTTAGTTAACAGAGAAGACATAAATGAAAATTAGGTATCCAGACAGACATGTAGCTAGATAAATGGTTAAATAGATGCTATTTTTTGCACTGCTGACAAGTTTTCCAAACCGTGGAGTAGGTGTTGGGTAGTTGAGAAGACCTCAGTGCCAGTATCATATTGTTCAACAAGCTTTCAATATTTTTTTAAAGCCATTAGGAATGGCTGACACCAGTGGTGCATGAAAACTGTGGTTATAATATTGACATTTTGCCACTGTCTCTGCTCTTCAAGGCACAAGGACAAGTTCCAAACTCTTCAGAGTAAAACATCTAGTACCACTGGGAGAGAGAGTTTAGGAGTGGGGCCACATGCCAAAGCAAGAGGGGGACATCCTTAGGGGCGGCTATGACTTCTGAATATTGACCTTGCACCAGCAGCAAGCAGCTCCTGCATATCATGGGTTGGGGACCAGAAGGTCTCCAGGCCTGAATGCCTTGGCCTGTTCTGCAGAAAGAGCACAATTTGGGCCATGCTTGGCTTGGTAATCTCACTTCTTTCTCCCCTGGGCACAAGGAGGAATGTCCAGCCTGTTCCCATGAAGATCCACAATGAGGCAGACACTCTGCTGCAGTGTTGAGAGAAGGGCAAGCACGAAGTCAGCAGCCCTTGAGAAAAGTCAGCAAGAAGTCAGATCCTTGAAGGACACACACCCTATTTCTTTACCAGCAATGGCCTCAGAGCAGTAAGGAAAACAGCTCAGCCCTTGTTTTCTCATCTTCCCATCTCCCTTGGCTCTTCCAAGGAGACATGTATTAAATACCCTCTGTATAATTTATACCCCGCCACAAAACATCATCAATACGGGAAGAATGCAATTAATCTTCCCCTTTTTTTTGCTTAGTATATTTAATTTGGATTTACTGATAGTCCATTACATTCTTTTGGTAGGAAAAGATACTGCACTTCTAAAAATGCATCAAGAGTATAATTAAGTCAAAGCTAATAGGTAGGTAAATGTCTCTCTATATATGCTCTTAAGACTACCTTTAGCATTTACAGAAAAGATTCCATGATTTCATCTTTACTTCAATCATCTGTGGCCACACTGCTGCAAGCTTTTAAAACACAGAGGAAGAGGGCTGGGGATTTAGCTCAGTGGTTCCGCTGCCTGCCTCGCAAGCGCAAGGACCTGAGTTCGATCCCCGGTACCAAAAAAAAAAACCACAGAGGAAGACATGGGTCACGGTAAGCTGCACACAAGACCAGTCCATGGGCTCACGACTTCATGGTGCAGATGGGCACAACAATGACAAGGATGACAGTGCACGTAGCAGCCGCAATCAGAGCAGCTATCTTGCAGACCTTGGCTCGTCTGAATTCAGCTTCTTTCCGTTTCAGTAATGAATCATAGCCTGGAGTATAAATGTCTTCCATCCAATACTCTAAGTTGTTTGGATTTAAAGATTCTTGTGTCTAAAAGTGAAGAGAAGATGTTAGAAATATGGTGAGTACTTGAAACCAGGTCAAAGGCATTGTGACAGTCATCACTCCTGAAGCACTTAGGAGCTGTCTGCAGCTGGGAGCTGGCAGGGACTGTGTCAGAGTTGCAGCCCCAGCGGCCCTGTGCCCTCCATGGCCACCAACGACTCAGCTGCACATCATGGACCGACCTGGACCCTCCTTTACTAAAAGTGCCACGATGGTGACTTTGACATAGGAAAGCCCAAGGGTCTCCCGTCTATGAGCAAAACGGGGCTGGGACAAATAAGACTCTAAGCTTCAAGGGCAGACAACCAAAGGCAGGCTGGCCCCACTGCCAGGGAAAAAGGGAGTTGTTGTAAAACACTCTTTGCCAGCAGCCTCCCGGAACAGACCTGCTGGAAGCAAGGCCATCGTAGGACTCCAAGTCAATTCCTATTTCTCAGAAAGACTTAGGCTAAAAATCAAGGCACCTCCAAGATAAGCAGCTCAAACAAAACATAAAATATTTCAGCTTCAAACCTTTGTTGAGCAGGTCAGGCTCAGAGTCAATGTCTACAGACTCGTGGCCAAGCGTCGCCAGGCTCACCTTGGTGACCATTGTGGGTTGGGTGTAGCTCAAAGAGACAGATCCAGGGGTGCCTGTCTCCTGGGGTCCCTGAGATTAATGAACTGTCTGCAGGAGAAATATCATGTTGAACCTATATTGCTCATGATCCTTTTCCATGTTGATGGTGATAATCTACTTCCACAGAGAAAGGCAGTGTCTCATTTTATGGCAAGCATTTGATAATGTAAGTGTCACATAAAGTGACAACACATTGTACTTCCAAGTGAGGTCACCTGAATCTCCAAAACATAAACCAAATACCTATTTTGAAGATTTCTTTTGAATTGGTTAATGTTCATAAACACAAGGACACTAAAAACCACACACACACACACACAAGGATCAAAGCCAAACCCTTCACTACCACAACAACCTCAGCTGTACTAAGCTGTTGGTGAAACACTGATTCTGATGCATGTTAGGAACTTTCCACCTGCACCTTCGCTGTGCCCCAGGAGATGGACCCGTATGGTGCTTTATGGGGTCCCTGTGTGGGGTCAGGCTGGGGCATGGAGGACAGAGAGGTGGAGGCATTTACTCCCTCAGCTCCGTACCTGCTGTGCTGCAGCCTGGCTCCCACAGCTGTGGGTCTCTACAGGTCTGAGAAACAGCTCACACCCTGGGCTCTAAACACAGAGTGGCAACAGCTTCTGCCTGGGCTGGTCCCTGTGGCCCTGAGCCTGGTTCCTCCATGGGCACAGTGCCATCCTGACCAACCTCCCAGGCCCCTGTGTGTACATTCTGCTACCTTACCGCTCTATTCCTGGTCCCTGCAGACTGTGGCCTGCAGATCCCACCTGCAGACCCCTCCTCAGACTGGCTTTTCTATTTCTAAAACCTTGAAAACATAAAAAAAGAATAATATCATGTGACACGTAAAAATTATAAGACATGCAAATCTCAATTAAAAACTAAAGTTCTGTTGGAACACAGCCAGGCCCATTCATTCACAGATTGTCTATAAGTGCTTTTGCATTGCAGGGAGAGTTGAGCACCTGGGATGGAGACAGCCGACACTCTCAGGACCCCTGCTCCCAAGCTATGTGGAATGGCTGGGTACTGTAATGGAAGAAGGACACTTACTCGGGACAGGTCTTCAAGTGCAGGTGATCTGTTTGCCTTGATCCTCTGCAGGACAGGCCTGGGCAGGGGCCTGGCACCATCCCACAGTCTCACTTTGAGCAGCTCCACCAGCGCCACTCTGATATGAGAACATGTCCTTGCGCCCAACTACTCCCCCAGCCACACACACACACACACACACACACACACACACACACCACAACCGTGCACACAAGCACATAGAGCTCTACCCTTGAGGGCACTAGGGCTGGCTGCTCTCCCAGGATGAACCCACGATGGGCTGATTCTGCACCATTTTGTCTGCGTGTTGGGGGAGGTGTTACCCCACAGCACTCCCGACCTGGGACGCTGAAGGTGGAAAGGTGGAAAGAGCCTGCCTGCCTTTCTTCCCAGCCCCCGGGGCTGGCTGAGATGGTAAGCAGTGTGTACAGGAAACATCAGATGTTGTGCCTTGTTCCCTCTGCCTCAGATAGAAGGAATCAACCTCCTTTCATAGCTACTGACTTTATTACAGGCTAGGATTCTGCCTGTGAAATAAACTATTTTTAATTAGCTTTTTTTTTTTTGTAACTGCAAGCTGTAATGGTACTGCTTAGCATAGAGGTAATCTCAAGGTTTCCAGGGGTGCGGGTGGAGCCCTTCATAGCTAATTAGGCTGCCAGACACTGGAAATAAATACAGGGCCACACCTTTGCCTGCCCCTGCAAGAGGAAGCACCAATGGCGAATGCACATCTGGACAACACGGACCTCCAGATGCTCAGCTGACCTGAGATGGTGCCTGTGTCTCTGCAAAGGCTGAGAACAAGGGACTCGATGCCTCTCTATCTCCATCAGGCTCTGCTTCGAGGCAGACTTCTCCCAAAACACAAAGCCATTTCCTCAGCTGTGTAACTGGATGCTGCATCCTTCGCATTGTATGGAGTTTTACCCAAAGCTCTGTAACCTATTATTATTTTTTTATAACTGCCTCTATGCTTGCAAACATTGGTACATTAAAATCACACATATCCATACAGGCAAATCTTCCAATTCCCTGCCCCTAAACCTTAAAATGATGTTCTTCAGTCTCATTTGAGGCATCAGACTTGCTCAAGGGCATCCTGTGGCACTGGAAATACTGGGGATCCCACCAGTTGAGCTTTTGGCACCTGGGGTCCTCTCTGGCAGCCTGGAGGCTCGTGGCTGCCTGACTCCCATACAGCAAGGTGGCAGCAAGCTCAGCAAAGCTACACTGGGACCCACTTGGGGAGACCAAATCCTTGTCCACAGGAAGGTCACAGTGGCCCAAAGGACAAGTGACAGGCGACACGTGGAGATATACACACATGGAGGCTCTGACAGAGCTTCCCCTTCCTGTAGTCGCTGTCGTTTAGGGCCTGGATATAAATGCAACTGCAACCAGCTATTTGTGACATAAAGCTCTAATAACTCTTATCAAGAGAAAAATGAACCGGTGTAGAGGTGAGACTTACTATGGGATGCTCCAATGTGAGTTTAGGCTTGTCTGACCTGGGGCAAGTTACTGAGCCTCCTAGTGCCTCAGTTTTCTCATTTGTAAACTAGAGATGGTGGTGACAATCCCTGCATTGCAGGCCACTGTGCCTGGACCTGGGTGATTCCTGGGAAGAGCACCATTCCACGTTGACTGATTTTAGCACCTTTACCAGCAGTCTGGGAGCCTACTTAACTCCAGCTCTTTGGGCAGATTGCTTCAGGTCCTCACAGGGATGCTATGACATTGCCCAATAGTATGGCCCATTGCACAGGTGAGACCAGTGCTCCAGCTCACGTGGCACAGGCACCTGGGCTGGAACCCAGTGTTGCTGGAATCCCGTCCTTTCTGTCCTCCACCTGCCCCTGCGCAGACCTCTGCCCCACAGCTCGGCCACCGCAGGGAGCCTCCCCACACCAACCCCTACCGGAAGCTCTTGCCAACTGTGCCTCAAGAGCACATCTTTCTGGGCATGAACGGGTACCCTTGGTGCTCTGACCTCGCTGCCCACAAAGCCTCACCCACAGGCGGGAACAGGTGCTTCCTTTGGCTCGTGATGATGTGGAGGCTCAGGTAGATGTTTGTGGGTGGAACCAGGAGCTACCCAGCAGAATAAAAGTGTGGCCCAAACCCAGCCCTGCCTGCCCTCTAGCCACAGTGGCATTCCCAGATCTTCCAGGGATGGTTCTTACCTGGGGCTGTTCCGAATGGAAACATAATCCATAGCTTGGCTCCCACAAATATGCTTATCCCACGTGCTACATAGGGAGGGAGAGAGCAGCTTGCGTTTCATTAGGCTGTTTGGCTCAGGTCTCGTGAGCAAAGATTAGAATCTGCACTTGGTCTTAAACGTATCGTTAGCACATCAGACAGCCAACAAGTAAGTAAACAGACAAAGCAAGCATCCCCACTGCTAAAGGTTTACAAACAACTAAGCTAAGTGACAATCCCCTTGTTAAAAATTTCTGCTCTCTGATTCACTAAGGCTCAGAACTTCGTGTTGGTGTTGGTCCCTGGAGTCGAAGGGTAGGGAGTCATGGCCTAGTCTGCCCCAACTGCTACTGCGCCTGCACCTGCGGGCAGAGACAAATGCTCACCTGCAGGTCCAGGGCCGCCAGCTTGCCTTTGTCGCCGGCATTCCGCGCATACTCCTCCACTGTCCAGGAGGGTTGCCCCCGCCGTACCTCAGCCAGCTCCGTCAGCCTCATGTCTGTGTACAGGGGGTTGCTCTTCATGTGGGCCTTGAGGGACGCAGGGTAGGGGTGGGGGCTGAACACCTGCTCCACCAGGAAGCCATCCTTGGGTTGCTTGGGCAGGTGGTGCTGTGGGGGGACATCATATTGCCTGTCAGCCTGCAGAGGGAACAGAGAAGGCAAGAAGCACGGCTCTTGCAGTGCCACAGGGCAGACAGTGGCTTTTGTCACGATGCCCTGGCAACTCCAAGCTAGCAGCATTCAGTCACTCAGGAGCACACAGGAAGAGCAGCTGTGCAAGGCAAATTCTCTTCTGACTGAGACTGTACTAATCTGAGCTAAGGTTTCCACCCCAGGAGCAGGCCCTTCAATCTGACTCATTCACCCCAGCTATACTGCGGTTCGGGTGTCACCTGGCCTCAGGGTTTATAACGGGGCCTCTGATGCCTTCCCCTTCTACCTTCTGGCCCTCAGGTCTCCACACTTCACTCTTTGCAGCAAGCCCTCCCTGGCCCGCAGAGGTCAGGACCGTGCTGGTCCGTGTGACATCCTAGGACTGGTAACAGATCCCTTAACCAGCGTGTGTCACACTGAATGGTCACTACCCATTTGCCTGTCTATCTCCCTGCAAGGCTAGGAGACTCCTGAAGGCAGGGGATCATCTTGCTCGACTTTCAATGCACTGAGCAAAACACTTTCCATCACTATTCACCAAAGGCAGAGAAGACAAGACAGAAAGTTGAGTGTATGAATCAGAGAGCAGCCCAGCTGGAAAAGAATGGGAAGAAGGAAGTGTAGCCCATGTACATGTAAGGAGAAGGAGCATGAGGTCTTGAGACACACAAGCCAGAGTGTGTCACTTGTGGTGGCCCATTGTGTCCCTGGCCCATTCCTGTCCCCAGAGAGACCACGGTGCCTGCTGCTGCATTCTTCAAGGATATTGGCAGAGACACAGAACGTGAGATGAACTCAGTGAAACCCCAAGAAGAAATAGGGTACTAACTCCCTGGGAGGCCCCCGTGGACTTTATTAACCTGCACATCACCACTCCCAACTCCTGTGCAGCCCCCACTGTGCCCATGGCCACCCACAGCGGCAGCTCTGGAGTGGTGACCACCGCGCAGTGCCAAACGCAAGTCCTCCCGCTGCATCTTCTCTTGGACATCTCAGGTTGTCCCTGCAGTGATCCCCACTGCAGGTGTGGAAACTCAAGTCAGAGAGGTTAAGAGACTGACAGGTTGCATAGCTACCGAGGGGCGGGGCAGGATGCACTCGACAGGTCGTTAGTTGCTGTTCCTACGCTGAGGAGTTTATGTTTACACTCGGCAGTCAATTTATGCACACATTATGTGTGCCTTAATCCCTGTCTGTGCTGGCTCCACCTGGACAAAGAGGCCCAGGACCTAGACTGCAGAGACCAGGAAGCTTCCAGAAACTCATGGATGAAAGGAACAGAGGACTTACTTAGATCAGCAAAGAGGAGGGGGATCCACTACTTCTTTCATTTTTTTCTGGTACTGAGGATTGAACTCTGAGCCTTCACACTGAGGTGTATCCCTGGTCCTTTTTTAGTTTTGAGGCAGGGTCTCGCCAAGTCACTATGTTTCCCAGGCTGGGCTTGAAACTTGGGACCTTCCTGCCTCGGCCTCCCTGAGTTGGATCAGCCATTCTTGACGGAGGAACTGCGGACGTAGAATGGAGCCTGGCCACAACAAATGCTTGGCTGGCACCACAGACTGGGTCACAAAGTGAGTGAACAGGGCTCAGGGTGAGCAGAGTATGCTGGCTGGGGAGAAATACCTGAAATCTGCAGAGCTTTAAAGTCCAGGCTAAGAAATTTGACATTTTTTTCTACAGCAATGAAAGGAGAGCCAAGAAGGCATTGAGCACAGGGGTCCTGCACAGCTGCAGAGAGTAGAGTTAGGGAAGTGTGAACACAGTGGCCCCTGAGCTGGGAGGAAGGCAGGGAGTGAGCCCCAAGCCCCAGGGGGCTGTGTTAAGAGCCAGACAGGGTGGGGATTCAATGGAGAGGAGGCGGGAATGCAGGAGACATCACAAAGACAGAACCACAGGGTCCAGAATGTGCGTGAGAGTCCAGCACAGCATCTAGGTGTAGAGAAAGGCTAGAATAGACCCCCACCAAAGGGAGTGACAAGGAGGAACACCGGCTTTGAACACATAGAAAAGTCTGGTTTGAGACCTGCAGGAAGAGATCTGGGGCCTTCGACAAGAGGAAAATAGGGGTAGAGGCTCGGAGGGGGCCCAAACAGAGCACCACCATGGGAATCACCAGCGCAGAGGAGGCGAGAGCCAAGAGAAAAAAGCAAGGTCACAGGAGATCTTCCAGTGGAGGCACACAACTGCTGGAGTGCCCCAAATGCCACTTTTCATGTTAACATGGCCTAAGCTAGGGGCATGGACCAGAGGACAGGGACTATGCTGGGCACCTTGTCTAAGGGGCAGGCATCACCCTCTGGCCAAAGTCTGCCTCACAGTGACTGGCACAGTCCCCACAGGATGCTTTGGAGTCAGGGAAACAAATGACTTCTTCAATGTCCTCTTCTCACTGCTCCGGACCCTGAAAAACTTACATAGAACTTAGTTTTCCAAGCTTTTATTTCTTTGCATCACTGAAAGATTCAGCCTCCTGGGCTTGGAAGCCATGTCTCCCTCCCTCTCTAAAAGTCTGTCTTTGGGACCTCAGCAGCCCGAAGTCTGGCCAGTGACCTTGAAAAGCAGGGAAGGGAACAGAGGCCAGCAACAGACTAAAGCAGCCAGAAGAGGTTTGCCAGAACCCACTAGGAATGAAGAGGAGGAGCCACAGGTCCCACTAAAACGATCTTTCTTATGGCACGAGGAGGGAAAGAGGACAGCACTGATTATCTATGTGAGTGCACAGGTTCCAGAGTGAGAGGTGTGCAAAACACCGAAGCTCACACACAAAGCACAGAACATACAACTGTGAAGGGGGAAAAAAACTAAAGGGGAAAGGAAGATTGCATATTAAAAGCAAACAATTTTGCCTGACAGAATAATGAATTAGTTCCTTATTTACCTTCTCTTCTTACTAATTATCTGTCTGCTAATGAAAAAATAAAACCCATTCTTTTAAAAAGGAACATCGCCTATATAGCAAAGCTCACGAAAGGGGCAGGTCAGCATTTCCCCTGTTTACCTCCATGGGCCTCAGCAAGGATAGGAAGCAAAGCTCAGACATCCTCGCCTGCCCTGACACACCACCTTCTATGAAAATCATCCTCACTCCACCTTCCCAGTATCCCAAGTGCACTGTTGGAAGCCGAGAATCACAGTGTGTGCTCAAGTAGCTGCCTGACAGCTTGGCTTGTGTCACCCACTCTATACCAGGGGCAAAGCAGGCCAGTCTGGAAGGGGATCAGCACAGGCAGGCCAGCCCTCTCTCTGGCTTAGTGCAAAGCTCACTCACCACTTGGACGAACACCAAGGCTGTGCTCAAGCTGCACCAAATTTACAGGCACAACCCCATTACCTCTTTGGATTTCCGGTGCCAGTCCTTGGTGTCTCCCGGACCTGCATCCTTCACCTCCTCCTCACTGGGCCCCACACGGCTGGTATAGGTGATGGTGCGCCAGTCTCGGGGGGAATTGGAGATGCTGGCTATTTTGGACTCGGTGGCACTGTTCTCCTCAGTCAGGGACCTGGAGGATGGCCTGGCAAAGAGCCTTTTCTTCAGGGCCTTAACGCGCAGACTTTCACTGTTGCTGCCACTGGCATCCGAGCAGCACCACTCCACACTGGGCTCTAGCTTGGGTGTGTGGGTGCTGTCGTGGGCGCGGAATACTCTGGGGGAGGTGCTGTCATAGGATGGGGCCTCGCTGGTCAAAGAGTTCAGATCCATGTGCACATGCACCTGCTCTGGCTGCTGCATCTTCTGGTCCAGCTTGTTCAGCTTGCCAAGGACCTGAGAGATCTCCTCTCGGACACCCGACAGTGACTCAAGCTTCCTCTCGATCTCCCCAATCCTGCGCACCAGCTTGCACACACTGGTCTTCAGCTCCTGCTCTGAGTGGTGCAGGTTTTCAGGCCGGCTGCCCTCATCTGCCTTGCTGTTGCGGACCCCGCTGGTAATTCTGGTGAGGTTGTGTTCTGGGGAGCTGTCACAGTCTGATTTGTGGAGCTGAGACAGGGATCCAGTGCTGTTGTAGCAGGATGAATGTATTACCCCAGTGGAGCCACTGACGCTCATGTCATCGAGAAATCGGAAGATGTCGCTGATGTCCTCGCTGACGACCTCGGAGTCGTCATCCGAGTGCTTCCCAGCGTGTCTGTCTCCATACTTGCCCTGAGCCGCTGCGCACAGATCTTTGCATTTCTTGGGCTCCATCGCGTGCTGCTCTGTCTGGGTACCCACACTGCTGGTGTCAGAGCTGACCTGCCGGCTGGCACAGCCAATGCTCTTGTCCTTGAACTTCTTTGCTGGTTCAAACTTCTCCAGGTCAACAGGAGAAGAGAGCTCCTTGGATTTGAGCCCATTTGGCTTGGCCACATAGCCAACAGGTAGAATTTGCTGTGGATCCTTTGGCACTAAGTAAGCTGGATGCCTGTCTAGGGCTGAGAAATTAGGGGTCTGGCTGCTGGGATTTGGGTAGTGTAGCTTCTGCTCAGAGGGATTTCTGTTGAAAAAGGACCGCTCAAAGTCTGGGACCTCCTCAGTGTTCAGGCTCCAGCTCTTGACTGGCCAGGGAGTCTGCTTGCTGGGCCGCCCCAGACAGTGCCTGGCGTCCTGGGTCCCCATCACTGGAGTGGGTCCGAAGTAGGTAGAGGCTTGGAGATCATCTAAGCTCTCATGCTTCACTCGCCGCTTGTCAGGAACAGGGGAATACATAGGATTCAGGTACTGGTTGTGGTAGGGCATCTCAAAGCTGTGATTGAAGAATGGGGGCTTGTGGGGCTCCTTGTGGCCCTGGGGCTCCCCATGCTCACCCTTGTCGGCCTTGTTGCCTGGGCCAACCAAGCTGGGAGACACTGGCATGAGGTTGTGAAAGTCTTCTTTGAAAATGTTTCTTTTCTGCACGCAGGACTGGACCACAAAGGGCTCCTCGGGGGGGATGAAGGTCTCCTTGAGCCCCTGGCTGATGGGCAGGGGCTCCTGGCCTGACACTGACTCGCTCTCCAGGTTCATGGGAAAGTACGTCCTCTGCATCTCGCAGGGCTGAGGGCTGGCCACTGAGTAAGGGCCCAGGGCCTGCAGCCTGTCAAGGGAGGCGGCCCGGCTCTTCCCCTCCTTGCTGACACCCAGCAGGAAGTTGGGCTCTGAGGCAGGGACGAACTGTGGACAGTCCTTGCAGTCCCTTTTCCGGCACTTGGCAGACTGCCGGGTGGGGTAGCCACGGCTGAAGGGCCGCTCACTCAATTCACAGGTTAAGGGCTCACACTCATCCACACCACAGACCTCCGTGTCTGACCTGCACGATTCAAAGGAGGCTCCCTTCTTGCGCACCTTGGGGTGGCCCGTGGGCAGCTTCTCCTTGGCGGCACCCCCGCTCATCTGGATCAGGTTGAATATTGTCACAATATCTGCTGCCACCATGATCTTCTTTGACTGCTGGTTATTCACAGTGCACTTCATCTTGTCTTTGAATAATGTGGCTGGGAAGTTGGGATCAAGACAAGCCGTGTAGAAAAGCACGCTTCTCAGTTTAGTGAGCTGGGACAGGTCAAAGCGAGTACACAGAGATCTGCACAAGTCCTGGTAAGACACGGTGTTTTGCTTGCTGTCCAACTCCTCCAAGATCTTCACCAGGAAGAGAGATGTCTCCTGATTCACCTCCATGACTTAGGATTTGGAAAGTTAGCTGATGACGCTGAAACTTTGGGTCAGCTCTACAATGATAGTATCAAAAAGGAGGGGAAGGAAAGAGGGTTATAAATATCAGTGGAGTTTTAAATCTCGCTTGGTACACTTAAACACATGGAAAATCATGTTAATGACTAAAAATGTATTAAAGGCTTTAAAAATATAACACTTGATTTAGTAATTTTCCCCCATAATCTACCTTAAAGAAACAATTGATAACAATCAATGCATGAAGACATTCACTATAATGGGACATATAACTACGAAGAAATAAAATACTACAATAGCCAATTAATAGAGAAAACATCAATAAAACCAATGAAGTTCTACAAACATTAAAACTACACTAACGTATATTCTTTTAGCAAAATACTACTCATCCCTAAATAAGAACCAACTACCAGAACATGCAGTGACATCATGGAATCCCAAAGTGAGAGGAGCCCGAGTCCCAGGCCACGTACCACGCTGTACCATGCGGTTCTATTTTATAGAATTCTGGAAAACAGATCAACGGGTGCCAGGAGCTGGAGATGAAGGGAAAGACTAACCTACAAAGGGCTCAGAGGAATTTTCTAGAATGATAGATCTATTCTACATCTTGGTAGTGGTAGTAGTCACAAAACTATGCATTTGTCAAAACTAAGGGAACTATACACTGCAAAGTGTGAATTTTACTGTATAAAAATAATACTGTGACTTAAAAATTCCATAAAACTTTTTTTCTGACAGAAGAAAACTATAATATAATACTGTGTAAAAAATACAAAAATGAATCTGTAGATAGTAAGATTTTTAAAATTTAACATTATGTGTTATTGGAAACAACAATGAAATGTTAATAGTGTTTAAATTTAGATTTTTAAATATGGACCTTTGTCTGGACTAGGCATTCCTTTCCCCCAATATTTTAGGGTGCAAATTTTTAAACATAAAACAAGTTTGAAAAACTTTTATAGTGAATACCTATATACCCACCATTTGTCATTAACATTTTACTATATTATCACACGTCTATCCAGCTACCCATCATCAATCCATTTTATTTTTTATGTACTTCCAAGTAAATTGGAGACATCTGTATACTTCCCCCTAAATACTATCATGCATATCATTTAACCAAGTTCAATAATTGCTTAGTTTTTATTTTTATATGAAATTTGCATACAATTATATTAAGTGTGCACTGGTTCAAGTCCCAACAAATATGTAACCAACACCTGTGTAAAGATCTAAGAGTTCCCACAGACCTCAAAGTTTCCTAACGCTCTTCCCTGCTCCAGGGCGCCACAACATTACTGTCCTCAGAAGCCGTCTCAACATTCATTCCTGTTTTGCATGGCTAGTGAATTACTAATCCCAGACCAAAAAACTACTCAAAAAACCAAGGCCCAGAACCTCCTGAAGAGAACAGCAGAAACACAAACATTATGGTAAGTATGAGTCATATTTATCCAAAGTGAAGTCCAGAGTCTGTGAGTGGACACAGGTGCAGGGAAACAGATGAAGCACAGATGCATGGACAAAGATGCATGGACACAGCTGTGACACATGTGCATGAATACAGGTGTGGCCCGGGTGCATGACCACAGGTACAGACACAGATGCATGGATGCAGGTGTTGCACAGGTACACGGACACAGGTGCATGGACACAGGGGCACAGACAGGTGTGGTACAGGTACACGTGGTGATGGCCAGTCATCAGTGACCCTCCACTTGGATTTGCTGCAATGCACTGAAACTCAGAGAGGAAATGGAACAAAGAGTGATGAAGCATCAGAAAACAGGCTTTTAGGCAATGTCTGAGACCCAGTGTGGAACACGAAGCCACTGGCCAGCTGCCTCATCTGACCACACAAACACTGCTGCAGCCACAGTTTATAATGATGAAACTGTGGAACAGAGAGGGGAGTAACTGAATAACCCAGAGAGAAGGCAGCAGTTGCCCAGATCCAATCCCAGATTAGGGCCCCAAGGTCTTCTGACACTGCTGAAGGGACACCAGGCTCGTCCTCCTGCCAGAGGAGGAAAATCATCCTTTGCCAAGCGATGGAGGTGCCACAGAGATAACATGGGCTGACCTCCGGGAGCTCAGCTTTGAAAGGTGACTGCACTCTATTCAAAGAGCAAGACACCCCCACCTAAAGCATGATGTTGGCCTATTTTACATTTTCAACTTCCTTACAGACTTCAGTTCCCACTGTTGAAAACTCCACCCTCAACCACAGGCTTCTAGGGACCTCCTTTAGGCCCATGAGTTACTCCTCTGTCGGATTACGCACTGCCTCAGAGGAAAATAAACACACAGCCATGGGACTCATTATTCAGTTCTTGTTGACGTTCAGGAACTGATCCCAGGTGGAAGATCTGAGGGCCACAGGTTAAAATTATCTGCTCAATACTCGGGCCACCCCCTCACCTGCTCAGCACACAGGACCCCAGTCCATCCTGGCTCCCTATCATCTCTGGCATCCACCTCTGCACCTACTTCCTGCCTCCTCTGAAGTTCTGCAGGCTCAGCCTTACAAAACCAAAGGGATTCAGCCCCATGAAACTACAGACACCTGGCCCTAGGAAGCTTTTCCTGGGTACCAGGTATGTATATGACACTGTGCTAGGCACAGCTGGAAAGGCCAAGTGCACTGCCCTCATTGAGCTTACAGTCTCAGGGAAGAAAGCAGTCTTTAGGGTCAAGGCTGGGTGGGCCACAGTGAACAAAGGGCCTAAGCCCCTCATTTTATGGACAAAGAAACTGAGGCCCAGAGGGTAACAAGACTTTTCAAAGGTACATGTGGAAGTAGGGACAGAATTGGCTCAACAGCTGGGTCCTCTGACACCTGGGTGTCTACAGGTGTCCAAAGTGCCTGAGCTGACTGCCAAGTGTCAGGGGAGCTTAAACCATGGCCAGACCTAGGTAAGGGTGAGCTGGAGTCCAGCCGCGGGCCTAAGAAGCAGCCAGCTTTGCAGATGCCTCAAAGACTGAAGGGGCAGTGGGTGTTTGAGGTTCTGGGGGACAAAGGAGTGATCTGGGCAGAGGGCAGGGGGCCTGAAGGTACAGAGTAATGCAGCCAAGTGTGTATCTCTGGTCAGGATGGGAGAGGGAGGGGAGCTGGACAAGCAAGTAGGATTTGGTCAGGGGACTTGCTGTGGTTTGAATGGTCCCCTCTGAAATTCAGAAGTTGCCAAGTGATGGCATTGGGAGACGGGGCTCTTAAGAAGCCATTAGGCCATGAAGGCATCTCCTTCACATATGAGATTAGAAAAGAGGTTCCAAGTAGCCATTGCTCATGGCTCTTCCCCTTCCGCTATGTGAGAGTGAGACAAGAAGCCCTTACCTGATACCAGAGACTGGGTCCTTGACCTTGGACTTCTTAGCTTTTGCAACCGTGTGCAATAAATCTGATTTCTATAAATTACCCAGTCATAGGTATTCTGCTACAGCAACGCCACCAACTAAGCCAGGCAGAACACTAGACTCTGAATGGGGGCACAGCTGGATGCTGCCAGAGTAGGCCTGGGTGAAAAGGAGCAGGAACCACACTCCTGATGGTCTTCCTCCTGTGGCACCTACTCATGCCTCACCCCACACTTCAGTGTGACGACTGCTGCTCAGTCTAGTTGTTAGGCTCACGTGGATGTCCACCCATCCACAGCTGGATGTGCTTTTAACTGTTCAAGTGTTGACATCTGATGTTAATCAAAACAGTAGAACAAGAAAGATGATTTAGGGGTGTTATTTGTAGGATTGCTGTTTGAATCTTTGGACAAAAGATAAGCTCTCTGATTTTCATTTCTACCAATCCCCTTAAAGGTTTAATCTTTCCTTTTGCCACTGACAACCCAGGAAGTCGGATGACAATGAATGCTATAAACTGTGAGCTGGATTAGCAAAACTCAATTACAGTCTTACTAAAACTTTCTCATTTGCCATAATACATTGATCTTTCAAAAACTGAAACAAAGTGCAGAGATGTAATGTGGCCACAATGTTCTCACTTCACGTCCATGAAAAGCATGAGAATTTATCTCCATCATTTGTGTAATTCCTGGCTTGGTGTTGGCCTGTTTATTGTCTGGAATTGTGTTTTATTTTATTATGTTTTCCAACATTGAGGTTGCTACAGTGATTTAATGAAATTATGGATTCAGTGAAACTGTAAAAGGAAGGAATCAATCTAGGAATCTAAAATGTATGATCAGGAATTTCCACCTTCTTTGTGTTTAACACAACTGCAACTAAAAGGACATTCTGTCTCTCCCAAAGGCAGCTTCTCCTTCACAAAAATACCCGAGAGGGTGTCAAGGAGCTGAGGTGGGGCCACTCTTGTTTGCCAAGAGTTTCCTACAAAGCCTTTGACAAAGAAGCCAAGAAGTTATAAAGAAATTTCCAGATCTGGCAAGAAGGTACACTTAGAAAATGTAACCAAATTCCCTTATGAACACCTAGAAATACAGGACAAAATGTAGGGTTTTTTTTCCTTAAGATGAATAGGTGAGCTTGCAGGAGAGCAAGATAAATGCCCAGGTGCCAGAGGCAGAGCCAAGCCTGTACATTATAGAAGTCAGGAGGAAGGTGGGTATTGTGGCTGCCCTGGAGGTGGGGAGACCTCAGAGGTGAAGATGGGAGCACTGACCCCAAATAAATCTGGGGCAGTTGAAGGACTGTCCCTAGCACTGAGTTAAACATGAAATACAAAAAGAATCTAGGACTCTGGTCAGCTTCTACCTGGGCTCTATCAAAAAGTCCAAGGTTATCCTTTAGAAATGCAAAATAATGATTGTGTCTTAAAGACTTTAGGTCCCAAATTTATGTTGCCAAAGATATAGGAGCTCTTGAGCTCACAGAGTGATATAAGAATTGGTTCCATGTTGATAATGGTAGTTGAAACAAGGACAAAAAATAAAAACTCAGAGAAGACAAACCACAAGTTTAATTATATCTGTAAAAATCACATGGCTTCACAATGAGTAAAAGCCAAGAGACACAAGGAAACCAGAATTAAATGTTCAAAATCTTCTCAAAA